GAGAGAGAGAGAGAGAGAGAGAGAGAGAATGAGAAAGAGAGAGGGAGATCCCTACCTGCAGACGTTGCAAACAGCTGATCTGTCAAATACATCAAGATATGCAAAGATTTCTGCCAACATGTACTCTGGTAATGAGTCCCACATGGTGGTCTGGAATGTCAACACAGGAAAATATAAAGTTTTTTAGAAAGGTGTCTTTCTCACAGAAAAGCGACTTACATAATAAGTTAGATTATACAAAGTTTATCTCATTTTCAAAAAGTAAAAATATAATAATGGAAGTACCGTATTGGAAGTTAAGAAAAAGAAAGAAAAGGGGGAGGAGGAGGGAGGAAAGTAATACAACTAAAAAAGTACTGCAAGTTCAGCCTAACCAATTTTAAGAAGTGCCAAAAAACAAACTATGAGCAGAAAAAGTTAACCGAATAAATTCTTAATAAAACTTCACGTGGATCTGCAATTTCTGTTTTAAAATTCACATTAAAAATTCAAAAGACCTGGTGGAGCACACCAACCAAGTCCCTCTTATCTTACAGATTCTTTAAAAAGTTTTGGTCACATTACCGAAACATGCATCTAAATGTACAGTCAAATGTGTGTAAAACGGCCACCCATTATCAAGGAGAAAAGTGGCCGTATAAGACAGGTGGCCGTTTTAGGCAGGACTGATCAAATAGAAGAAAACAAACCATTCCCATCTGAGGTCCCAATCGGAAGTAGCCGCATTGTTGTCGTTTTTGTTGTTGTTGGTTTGTACTTTGTTTGTAATTTTTATTTTGTTGCTGATTTTGCACAAGGGTGACAATAAAATGAAATGTATCAGATGAGGAAGACTGAGCGCCATGTTAAAACAAACACATGGGTCGCCACCACTTGGAGATCGAGCGACGCTTCAATCACAAGTTCATGTTGACGTCCTTTGTTACTTTGTTACAGACTGGGTAAATAGTGACCACTCATCTCACTAACGATTCGTGTATGAGTTCTGAGCGGGGCTTATGGTTTATGAGGGATCACATGCTTACCTCACCAGCAGCTGAAAATTGGTAGCTATTGGTCAACAGAGGGAGGGGCTTACGGAATGTGATCGGTTGGAGGGACTACCTAACAACAACGACAGGTGATTGAATTATATGACGGCTTGCCCACAACGCCAGGGGCCAATGCACAATTTATGACAAAATGTAATGGAGTCACTAAGGTGGCCGTCTAAGACAGGTGTTATTGCTTAGTGTGATCAGGGTTGTGGGTTAAAATATGGTAGCTGCGGCTGCGTAGGACTGGTGCCCGTTTTACACAGTTAAATTATTAGACGCAAGGGGGGAAATGGAAACTTTTAAGTGGCCGTTTGTACAGGTGGCTGTCTTATAGAGGTGGCCGTCAGGGCAGGTTCGACTGTATTTGTTTTAGGTCTTTAAAAAAATCAATAATAATAATTTAAATGTTTGTACGATGTCGGGAGTGGGAGGGGAGTGGGGTAGGGAGGGGGGGGGGGGGAGTTTGTCATTCCTAAACTTACCCTGAAAAGACAAAACAGAAAACAGAAGTCAGAAGTGGCAAGACAACAATTCAAGAAGGCCGTGAGGCAGGGAGAGAGAGTCAGTCATGCTTGTCTCCCAATCTGAGTTGAGGTTCTGAAAAAAAAGTACACATTGACTATTGTGAATATATACGTGTTACGACGCGATGGAATCAGGCACTCGTCAGTTTTGGGCATATATGGAGTTATTGGTATTATCTTTGAGTCTGCCCATTCGCCTTGCTTTCAATGAAAAAAAATATCCATTTATGTTGGGTGTACAAGTCGAGGTGATTGAAGAAGGTGGGGTCACCTGGTTTCACAGGTAAAATAAAAATAGCCGCTAAAGTTTATTAATTTTTTTAGCTTGAGAGTGAGTGAAAACTGAAAATGTACATCTTTCATGCCTTTAATCAACGTTTTTCAGTAAATTCCACACTGAAATAGGTTTTTAATGGGAAAAATAAGTGTTGAACCGAAATATTTGATTAAAATTCTCAAACTTGTGGAAAAATGCCAGTTTCTTCTCTTTCATTATTTTGACGAGCACCTGATTTCACCATGCTGCCTCACATATATATACATTATGTCATAAATGTATTCTCACATATAACAGGCTATATAGGCTAATTTATCAATCTTCTGGCACACAGAACTGAAAAAGATTGAGACCGGAGGATCTGATACAAGAAATCCTTGCATCATTTTAAGAATCCTAAGAGTTGATGAAGTTTTTAAAAAGTACCATTGGTCAAGCATATATATATTAATATGTCTTTTCCAGATGAACGTGAAAAACATATATGTGCGAGATCACTTTAGTTTTTGTATCAGATGTACAGTGAAAGAGAAGTTAGAATATTATCATGATAGAATTGAAACACCAATGATGAGGCAAAAGAAGAAAAAAAATTTGAAGAAAAGTGGATTTTATTTGGGCCTAAAAAGGACAATATGAGGCCTATTCTAACTGTAGTAGTAGTATGTAGTAGACGTATATAGTAGAGCTAAGCTAGTATCTTATTATATAAGCTTTCATCATCATGTAGACTAGCCGAGATAGGTTTCTATCATCATAATATAGGCAGCCTCGAATCTCCTCAGGCAGTCATAGATAGTATATATATATATATATATCTGGTTGAACAATATTAGGCCAAGATCTAGATCTAGATCCTAGATCTTCAAGCTTTAAAATCTGGTTTCTAAAGTCTAAAGTTTCTTTAATTATGACAGACTGTCTGCCCTAGTAATACGGGGTGCCCACTACGGACGGTATCTGCCGATCGGGCCGATCGCCTGACTCGATCGCCTCAAAAACAAACGTGTTTGTTTTCAGTTTCAGGCGATCGAGTCTGGCGATCGGCCCGATCCAGCCGAAGTGAGCACCCCGTATAAGGCTAGATTTCTCTAGAAATCTAGAATCTAGATCAAGCTAGATCTAGATCTTGATTAGTTCTCAGATATCATGATCTATACTATAGGTTTAGAGAAGCCTTGAAATAGTAAATCGTGGCAATTTAAACATAAAAAATCTAGATCTAATTTAGATCTATAATCTAGATCTAATGATAAACTTGATAAACCGTAAATGTAAATTTTATAGATAATGAATAGAGCTAGATCTAGATCTAGAATCTAGTTCATGAAGCACTTTCTAGGGCAGGAATAAGACTTTCCAAATTTGTAATTTTGAGACCAGGATTGAAATTGGACACTATCACAGAGGAAACTAAGTTAAGGTCTAGATTCTAGAATAGATCTACTAGATCTAGATTTAGATCTAGAAATCTAGCTACAATTAGATTCTAGATTATTCGGCCCAACAAAGTGTAGGCCTATGATCTTCATTCATTGGCAGCAAAGCGAGTACCACTGGCACTGGGTAGTGGGATCACATATTTGACGAAAGATCAATCTATGCCAGAGTCCTCAAGAAGATCCTAGTTAAAAGACTTAATATATGGTCCGCCTAGATAGATCTAGATCTAATCTAGATCTAGATCTCTAGAATCTAGATCTGGATCTATACTCTAGATCTATTCTAAGATCTAGATCTAGATCTAGATCTATATACATGCACCCGTCTCATGTTCATGTTTTTATACACTTCTTTTCTATATCTAGAATCTAGATCTAGATCTAGATCTAGATCTATCTAGATTCTAGATCTAGGTATCTAGATCTAGACTAGAATCTAGATATATCTTGATCTAGATTAGATTCTAGATATAGAAAAGAAGTGTATAAAATCTAGTCTAGATCTAGGGCTAGAGATCTAAAATTTAGACTAAAAGTATTTCGCATGTTAAACACGAAAATAAGGGTCTTTATTTTTGCCGCATATCAATAGTTATTGAGTCATTAATTTAATGTTTGGAAATAGTAAATTTAACAATATATATGGGGGATTTCAGGGGGACATCAACCCAGACCTAAAAAGAATCTGGGGGGTTTCAGGTGGGCATGCCCCCCCTGCATTTCACAATGATTTGATGTTTTGTCGTATTTTCTTACTTTTGAAAACAATTGATTCGCAAGGATTTTAGTGGCAATTACGTGTGTTCTACAGCAAAAAAGGTGGCACTTTAGTCCTCACTCAAATTAATGCATCTATGTGTGGGTGCATAAGTAAAAATTTACCGAAATTTGAAGTCTGGACCGAAGCCATGAACCTTGGTTGCTATTTTTGATGGATGGCTGGCAAGGCAACGATGTAAACGAAGATTCACGGCAAAAACAAATTAAAATGCGTGGGCTTAAAATAGTTTTGGGACTTCCCGCAAAAACCCCTCTATGTATTTTGTATTCAGGCGTGCTTACCCAGATTTCGGGGGTTTCCGGGTTTCCAGAAACGGAGTGTCTATGTACAAGATAACCGGGCACGTAGCCTCAGTGTCTACGTACACGGTAACCGGGTACCGGGCGTGTAGTCTCAATGTCACATACACGGTAACCGGACGTGTAGCCTAAATATCTATGTACACAGTAACCGGGCACGTAGCCTCAATATCTACGTACACGGTAACCGGCAACCGGGCGTGTAGTCTCAATGTCACACACACGGTAACCGGGCTCATGATTATTATGGCTAAAATCTTGGATTTTTTGCTACCTTGTTTTGTACTATGCCACACCCTTTGGTGCAGAAAAGCAAGCATTAGACCAATTATTATAGCCTCTGGGTGTTGACCTTTGCTAGATCTATACCCCCTAAAGATGTACTTTTCCAAGTTTGATTTTGACTGTCTTCTCTCTTCCATTAGTTTTAATATGTCCTGGGTCATTCATTTTTTATTTGCTCTTTTAGCTTTCATATTGTTTTATCCAATGTGTATGTTGATTGTGTAGTTCGTGTGTTTAGAGACAGAAAATATCGTTGTGAGGCTATGGAGATTTTTGTTTATAATATAACTACATGTGCAAAGTCATAGTCAAGTCTACTTCTGACAAACTCAACCAATAAAGATATCCTCATATCGTTTTATCCAATGTGTATGTTGTGTGATTTGTGTGTGTGTGTAACATGCTATGTATTAATTTTTATAGAGAGAGGCTATTCACACGTGTATATGCATGGTGTGTGTGTGTGTGTGTGTGTGTGTGTGTGTGTGTGTGTGTGTGTGTGTCTCCCTCTCTCTCTCTCTCTCTCTCTCTCTCTCTCTCTCTCTCTCTCTCTCTCTCTGTGTTTATGTATTTTCGAGTGTGATGGTAAGTATGGTGTGTGTAAAGATAGTATTAGTGGGTGGTTGGTGGGTCCTCTGGTGTGGTCTGTTCCTTCTCTCCTATTCAACATCTATCATCCTTATCTTTCTCTTCCTTCATTTTGTGTTTGTTACTCTCTTGTAACACTAACACCTCTAATCTTCGGCACTTACATCAACTTATTGTGTTGCAAGTGCTAATTCTTACGAAAACAAAAGATAGTTTAAGGAATGAACAGGGCGCTTTGGCGGCAAGCGTAAATGTATGCGTGGTATCGAAGCTCGATTTACTTTCGCTTTCGTTACCACCCAGAAATTTGCCGGTAGCAGTCTGATTAACGCAACATATGTAACGTACAGGTTGTGCACTACAAACGTTGTGTCGCCATGATTATAAATCATTGTCCTGTGCTTTCATTTGCGAAAAAAAATAAAGTTATACAAGCGCCTTGTCGGGCTCGCCATCGTGACCGACAGTGAATCTGTACCTTCGCATCACATTGTGAGCACCAGTGATCGTTGGGGTCACCAAAGTTCATTCAAAGTGTGTGCTGCGCGAAGTATAGGGCTCCGGAATGGGGATATTATTTTTTTTTTTAAAGGTACAGTCGGGGGGAGGGGTGGTGGGGTAGAAGGCAACACTGGATGATAAAAACTGAACTTGGAAGCAAATATTAGTATTTAGAATTTTGATTATTTCTAGAGCTTCCTGCTACGGAAAAGCGTGCATTGGTGCAAGCCCTGGGTGGAATTGGGATCCGTCATACTCATACTAAGTAAGCCGTGTTTTTTAACCAAAATGTCCGCGTTTCATTGGATGGGTGATCGTACGTTTGTTTCATTGTCCTTTGTTTTAAGAAAGGTATGACCTCATCTAGTGCATACTTTTTTAAATTCTCTCTCTCTCTCTCTCTCTCTCTCTCTCTCTCTCTCTCTCTCTCTCTCTCTCTCTCTCTCTCTGTTTTCTGAGTCTCGTTCTCCCTCTCTCGTGATAGTATTACATGTATTGTTAACATCTATATTTTAGCTTTCTGTTCCAGATACGCAGATTTTCAGTGTCACTGCATTTTGCCCTCCATTAGGAAAGATGGCTGGGGGGTAGATTGGGATCATTTTGGGGATTACATTCCGCTCACAACACACAAAAGCGGAGTGAAAACGGTCAAGGTCATGACGAGAGCGAAGCAGTTACCGTGCACCTAGCTCACTCCCTCTCTCTCTCTCTCTCTCTCTCTCTCTCTCTCTCCCTCCCCTTCTCTGTCCCCCTCCCTCTTCCCCCTCTCTCTCGGTCTCTCTCTTATGAGACGACATAATATTATGTTTAATTATTATTCCGGTACACCGAATAGGACTGCATTACGCAGTATACATATATTTAGTTTTCATAAAGACTTTTTCGGCATTTGCCGCAAAATTAGGTCATAAGGAGGAGAGATAAGGACGGTGGACGTTTGACAGCTAAGAAAGAAGGTCAGGAGCAAACCACACCACCAGCGAAGCACCCGCCAACCACCCACCACGACGCTACAGCAAAAATACTACACTCTACGGTAGGCTGTACTATCTTTGGCTACAACAACCTGTTGATCCAACCTCCACAGAGATAAAGAAGCTGGCGGCACAAAGAGGACAGGGTCATGAGAGAAAATCTAGAACGTTCTGCGACACAGATAAGACGGGGCAAAGTCTCCTCGGGAAAACAGTCCAAGTTCAACATTCCGGTCACGTGGAGTGATCTAAAGGTAGATGTTATGCTACATGGTAGACGAAAGAGAGAGAGAGAGGGGGGGGGGTAGAGTG